TGACAATGGCAGCAGCGAGAACATCATCTCCAGAACCATGGTGACGAAGCTAGGCTTGAAAACGGAGAAACATCCCTCACCCTTGAAGATTGGCTGGATTAAGAGGGGTGCAGAGACAAAGGTTACTGAAACTTGTCGCATTCAATTTTCAATTGGGAAAAATTACGTGGATAAGATTATTTATGATGTTGTCGAAATGGACGCTTGTCACATGATCCTAGGCAGGCCATGGCAATATGATATGGACATTACCTATAAAGGCAGGGACAATGTGTATGTCTTCATGAGAGGAGGGCAGAAGGTAGTATTGGGTCCACTAAAGGAAGAATTCTCTTAGCAAAACCAAAGGCGCATGGTAAACCTATATTACTGGTTGATGAGGGGACATTTATAACAGAAACCAACGGGGCCAGTGAGGTTTTTGCAATAGTAGTCGGTGGTGGAGTTGAAATCGACTCTCCCAACATTCCAAAGGTACTGCAGCCTTTACTAGCAGAATTCCAGGCCATCATACCTGTAGATTTACCAGAGGAGTTGCCCCTCATGCGCGACATTCAGCATCATATTGATTTAATGCCCGGGGCTAGCCTACCAAATCGACCACGCTATCGAATGAGTTCGAAAGAAGGTCTTGTCCTACAGGAGCAGGTAGAAGAACTGATAAAGAAAAGGTTAGTTCAGGAGAGCATGAGCCCTTGTGCAGTGCCCGCCTTGTTAGTACCGAAAAAAGATGGCAGTTAGCGTATGTGCATCGACAGCCGAGCTATCAAAAAAATCACTATTAAGTATCGATTTCCCATCCCTCGATTAGAGGATATGCTAGACATGCTGGCCGGTTCCAAAATCTTTTTCAAAATTGACTTACGAAGTGGGTACCATCAGATTCGAATCAGACCCGGGGATGAATGGAAAACAGCCTTCAAAACGAAGGATGGTTTATATGAGTGGTTGGTAATGCCGTTTGGACTATCCAATGCTCCAAGTACTTCATGCGTTTAATGAATCAGGTACTTAAACCATTTACTGGCTACTTTGTTGTAGTATACTTCGATGACATACTGATTTATAGCCGGTGTGAATCTGATCACCTTGAGCACTTGCGAGAAGTACTGACAGTTTTGCAGCAGAACAAATTATATGTTAATTTAACGAAGTGCAGATTCATGACTAGCAGTTTGTTATTTTTGGGATTTATTGTAAGTGCTGATGGGATTAAAGTCGATGAAGAAAAAATTCAAGCCATTCGGGATTGGCCTACCCCGAAAAATGTTGGTGACGTGCGTAGCTTTCACGGGTTAGCCACATTTTACCTGCGATTCGTCAGGGATTTTAGCCGAATTGTCGCACCAATCACTGAATGTATGAAAAAAGGAAGATTCCATTGGGGAACCGAAGCAGAGCATAGTTTTGCACTAATTAAAGAGAAGTTATCTTCTGCCCCAGTTTTAGCACTGCCAGATTTTGATAAACTATTTGAGGTAGACTGTGATGCTTCTATCGCTGGCATTGGTGCTGTTCTATCTCAACAGGGTAGACCCATTGCATTCTATAGTGAGAAACTTAGTGAGGCTCGTCAGAAGTGGTCCACCTATGAACTTGAGTTGTACGCTGTATTTCGAGCTATGAAAGTTTGGGAACATTACTTAGTGCAAAGAGAGTTTATTTTATTCAGTGATCACCAAACACTAAAATTCCTTAACAGTCAAAGCAACGTGAACCAAATGCATGCTCGTTGGGTTGCCTTCATCCAACGATTCACCTTCACTTTGAAACACAAGTCAGGACAACTGAATAAAGTGGCTGACGCATTAAGCCGGAAAGTGTCACTACTCATCACCCTGCGGGCTGAAGTCATAGGCTTCGAATGCCTTAAAGAATTATATGCAGAAGATGAGGATTTCAGAAATATCTGGAGTAAGTGTCAGCAGGGGCTATCTCATGAAGGAATGCATATTCACGAGGGCTACTTGTTTCGGGGCAACCAATTATATATTCCCAGAAGTTCATTACGGGAGCAAATAATCCATGAACTACACGGGAGTGGCTTGGGAGGACACCTAGGACGAGATAAAACTGTGGCTCTTGTAGAAGAACGATACTTCTGGCCCCAATTGAAGCGAGACATTGGCAGCCATGTCAAGCGGTGTCCAACATGCCAAGCAGCCAAAGGCCAAACACAAAACACAGGCCTATACCTACCCTTACCTGTACCGGCAGCTCCTTGGGAGGATCTTTCAATGGATTTCATCCTAGGACTTCCACGAACGCAGCGGGGTGCCGACTCAGTCTTTGTGGTGGTGGACAGGTATTCCAAAATGGCCCATTTTATTGCCTGCAAAAAGACTTCTGATACCGTGCATGTGGCCAATCTATTCTTCAAGGAAGTTGTTCGTCTACACGGGGTCCCTAAATCTATCACCTCAGATAGGGACACTAAATTTCTTAGCCATTTTTGGAGAACCTTGTGGCGGCGGTTTGACACAACACTTAACTTCAATAGCACCAGTCACCCTCAAACTGATGGACAAACAGAGGTGGTGAACCGCACTCTGGACAACTTAATTTGTTGCCTATCTGGTGAGAAACCTAAACAATGGGATCTTACGTTGGCTCAAGCCGAGTTCGCCTACAACAGCATGCTGAACAGATCAACTAGGAAGACACCATTTCAGGTAGTATACTGTCAGCCCCTAAGTCATGCATTAGACTTGGTTCCCCTGCCAAATCTTCCAGGAATGAGTATTGCAGCGGAGCATATGGCTGATCGGGTTAAAGCCATTCAGGAAGAGGTGCGTAAGAAACTGGAAGAATCCAATGCCAAATACAAAGCAGCTGCAGACCGGAAACGATGACTTAAATTATTCAAGGAAGGAGACCTTGTAATGGTGTACCTACGTAAAGGGCGGTTGCCAGTGGGAACATTTAACAAATTAAGCAACAAGAAGTATGACCCCTATCAGATTCTACAGAAAATTAATGACAATGCATATCGGGTTGACCTCCCTGCAGAAATGGCAATATCTTCTACATTCAATGTTGCTGACCTGTTCGAGTATCATCCGCCTGACGAGTCACCCTCCAACCTGACTAACTCGAGGACGAGTTCTTTTTAGGCAGAGGAGACTGATGTAGGACAGTTCGTTGCTGTTACAAAACAATAAGAGGTTGCTATGAACTAAATTGCATGCTTGTTGGAATTTGCTATCATACACGAATTGCCAGTTGCACTTTCCTTATTCAACATAGATTCTTAGTTGGGGCCCTTAGTGCCTCTTTTGTTATTTCTGTTATTGCCTAGGACGTAAATTGAGGACATAAGTCCTGTTTTATGGGGGATTTCCCTGTCACCCCTTATTTTTCCTATTTAATTCTGTAAATCATTATTTGAGTAGGATTAGGAATGACAAGCTTATAAATACAAGCTGCCATTCACTTAGGAGGATACTTTTTAATTTGATTGAATAACAGTTTTCATTCAGAATCTTTTACTCATGGATTTGAGTGTTTTTTTTCTTTTGTTCGTGGACTCGAACACAATCAAAGAAAAGGGACGGTGATCCTTTTTTTTCATAAACTTCCGCTACGTCACTAATATAGAAAATGATTTGGGTGTAAAATTCATTAGTATATGTTTTTAAAATGAAAGGTAATTCAACTTATTTCTAATAAAAAAATATGTGAAGATGTATTTTTGAAATAAAATAAAATAAATTCAAGTAATTTATTTAAATATTAATTTTAATATTTAAAATATCTTATTAATTTTTATAAAATAAAACTAAGTATAAATAGCTAAAATAATTCAATTTTCTTAGTTATTATATATTTAGAGTGTGTATGAAAGTGGTTGAATCGTATTATTGAAAAATTTTAATTTTTTAATTAATTTCTTTATATTTTTTAATTATTTTGATGTTATAATATAAAAACTAAATTTTAAAAATATATATTATTTCAATATATTTCAACTAAGAAATATTTTAAAACACAATATTTTCAAAACAGGTAATTACTCGTATCGAGGTGAGATTTAATTCTATTAAAATAATAATAATAAAAACTATAAATACATTGATCCCAGCAGAATAGGAAAATCTACCTTCGAGAACAAAAACGTCACATAAGTCAAAATCCACAGCCCACGCAACAGTGAGCAGAGTGGTCTGTCTTTCCTCCATCCTTTTTATCTTCCGGTCTCAAAAGGGACTGGTAGTGTTTTTGCTTTTGTACTGTTATAGGTTTTGATGGAGAAATCATCATCTTCATCGTCCTCTTCCTCTTCCTCTTCTTCCAAAAAAGAAAGTCTTGACGTTCCTCTGCATTCCTTTGGGTTCCAAATTGAAGAATTGTCCCCTCAAAAGGTCACTGGTCGCCTGCTTGTTACTCCCAAGTGCGTCCAGGTCTGTCACTCTCCTCCTTTCTCTCTCTCATTATAATCCATATATAAGAGGAATTTTATTTGATTTCAATATGTTAAAATTGCCGAAATGGAGAGCTCATAATTTTCTTCTTGGAAATGGGCTGGCCGGCCATCGAGCAGCCGTTCAAGGTATTACACGGCGGAGTATCGGCGTTGATTTCGGAAGCGATGGCTAGCATAGGGGCCCACATGGCATCGGGATTGCAAAGAGTGGCTGGGATTCACCTGAGCATCAATCATGTGAAAAGCGCCCGCCTTGGAGACCTTGTCCTCGCCGAAGCCACTCCCTTCAGTATAGGCAAAACCATCCAGGTACATAATCCCCCTCCCTTCCCTTCACTTCCTTCAGCGTTAGCAAGGGAAAACCATTAAGATGCACCCTGATACAGGTGTGGGAGGTGCGAATCTGGAAATTAGCTGATCCTTCTAACACAGAGTCCTCCAAATCATTGGTATCATCGTCAAGGGTTACTCTCTTGTGCAACTTGCCTGCGCCTGACCATGCTAAAGAAGCCACGGAAAATCTCAGAAGCCATGCTAAATTATGAACGCTCTTTTATTGCCTGCCTACCACCACGACATGGTCGTAGTCATTACTCCTGATATTTTAGTCAATAATAATAATAGTACAATTGTACTACTGTAATTCAGTGACTTCTAGTTCTTGCTGTATGATTCTCAAATTTCAGTCCGAAGAGTATGAATAAATTCATCTAATTTACTCCCAGTTAGTTGATGATTGCTTCCCAATTGATAGTACTGTTAATCGTTCAAAAACAAAAAAAGAAGAATTTCACTCAGCTTAGCACACAGTCAACGCTGTTCTTAGACACCAACCTCGTGTTTTTTAGCCATAACTACCAAACCTACTACTTCAATTACATGGCGTCACATCCAAACTCGTCAGTCCTTCCCTTGTGTTGCTGGACCGGTAACACAAAAGATTGCAATACCAAGATTACTGAAATCTAACTTTAAGAAGCCATTCCTTCCCTTGTATTGCAGCACCTACTTTTCAATGATTCAGCGTGCCAGACGGAGTTTCGCTAGTTGCGGTTTCCATTTTAGTTTGTGTTTGATAATGCGGTAATAGGAAATTGATAGTCGAATTAAGCTGTCAAGTATGATTGTAAGAGATAAACGCAATCTTCAGGGATACAATTAGAGCATCGAGATCAAGAGTTAGATATTGTACAAATGAAGGTAACTGAAGAGGAATGAGAGCTAGAATCTTAATTATGAAATAATGGGTGCTGGACATACATAATTTATCACGTTTTGTGGCGCTACAGAGAAAACAACAGTTTTTCCCATATATTTTGTATTTATGACGTTCTATATGTTCGATTTACAAGTTAGATCCAAGTAATACATATAAATACAAGACAAAGTAATCCAACGGATTCTGCACAAGGCCAGTTGCAGCCGCTTCCAAAAGAAGTGGGCTAGCCCATGATATTTATTGATTTTGGCTTTGTTTCCAATTTTCAATCTGATCAGTTGCGGAGATCTTTTGCCTTCAAAAATGTAAAATCCTGTTAACTACAAAATTGCATAAGCAAGCAAGGGGATTCTCAGATGGAAACGTGGTGAATTGAGCAGGAGAGCTAGGAAAGTAAGATGTGTAGCTAACCTGAGCTTGGCAAGTTGTCGAGCGAGTTCATTAATCTCACGGGCAGAGAGCTTGAGAGAAGACAAGGTTCCTGGCACCTCTTCAGAGACGACTTGGGACAATTTGTTGACAGAAGCTCCCAATCTTCTGAAAGCCTGCATCATTGTTCTTATCATTGCATAGGATCCTATATGCTTACTTAAGAATGCAGAGCACCAGTACATCGACTTATGGGGTTGTTATATTAATTATCCAAGAAGAATAAATTATCAAGAGCTTACAGCTATGGTTGGAAGGCAAATGGCAGCCAAAGAGAAAATTGCTCCAATAGCCTGCGAGGAGGACGAGTACACTTGTATGTTACTTACTCGGAGAAAACTGGACAGTAGTCAGGAGGAAAAGGAAAAGAAGAGGTTGGAAAACTAACCATAGAAAGAAGAAACAAGAGAGAGAGGAGGGCCAAGTGAGGAGGGGAGGGCTCGAACCCTAGAGATTTGAGATGGCTGGGAGTGAAAGGCAATCGAGTAGAAGAGGGGAGCTTGGATTGCGGAGCATCAGCAACGTTACTGGAAACTCGATTTATGAGAAGAGCTGCAGTACCTGGTGTTGCCCCTCTTGTCCCGCCGAGCATCGATGTGTAAGGAGGAACAGAACAACAAGAACAACGTCTGAGTCTCCCTACGGACATGGAAGGGTACAGACACAATGGGGTTGGTCCAAGAAGAAGAAGAGGATGCATGCTACTATCACCTCAGAGCTGAAAGAGAGAGTTGCTGGACAATCTTCTGGATGAGGAGGAGCAGCCCTTGCTGTCCGTTTCGTGACACTTGCAAGGATAATGGTTTGCTTCAGCCTCCATGTCCATCGGGCTTTCCTTTTTATCTTCTAATAATACATGGGCTCAAGCATGGCCTTCTGCCGCATTCAGGATATAAACAGGCCGGTGATGCACTGTTCTGGGTTTTCAGGTTATGCTTGAACTCCAACCTTAAAGTTCCAAACTTAAAATCTCCATAAGACTTTTTTATTATTTCAAATCGGTTTCCATATATATATATATATATATATAGGGAGAGTCTGGTGTTTTTCTTTCTTTTATTTTTTATTTTTTTTGTTCACTCTTTATTTTATAAGTAAAATCGCAACCGAACCTTCCATTGCATTCAAGCTTATATTCATACAGGGAGGCAGCCAATAATGGCATATGCTTTCTCTCTTCTTTTTTTCTCTGTAAATTCATCCACCTTCTTGGTAGATTCTATCATGGAGATCCTCTCTCATTATTCTTTCTTCGTTTTAGATTTCTGATTTTCTATTTATTGATTGAAGTTCTTCACGTGATTTTATGCAATTTACATCCCGAGAGAGAGCTCTACAAAGTGGACCAGTAAGTATCTATACTTGTGGAAATATATTCATGGATTCCAAGTAGGAAAACACATATTTATAAGAGAAGAGATGCAGTCAATTCAATTCATATTGGACTAAATTGTATTAAGTTGTAAGATGAATACCAAATAGAGTTTTCATAGACTTGTAAGAATTAAAAATATTATTTTTCTCAAGAAAATGTTTTTTTTTTAAGGTGAAAGGAAGAAAGATTAATATTCTTTGAAAAATATAAAATTCAAGAATTTCCAGCAATGAAATTTCTTTACAATAATCAATTAATCATTAATTTTTTTAAAAAAACTATTTGAGAAAAAAATTAATTTCTTAAGAAAATTAAACTTTTTAAAATGTTTAAGAGGTTAAAATAAATCTAACTTTTAAGAAAATATTGGACATAGTCATCCATTAGAGTATTCGAATTAAAAAATATACATAAAAAATTCAAAACAATTCTCTTGAGACATTTTAATGACTATTTCCAAAAGTTTAATTGATAGTCATCTTATAATATTGTTATGCAATTTGGTCTATTTGAGTTGATAAGGCTAAATTTTACATAGTAAATTTTAATCAAAGTTTCTTTGCAAAAAGCTTATTTACAGATTTGATATAAATAAAAGGGTAATTACGGGGTTTTTTCTAATTTTATTTTTGTCTAAAAAATTTGTAAGCTTTCAACTACAAATTTTCACTAAATATATGCAATCAATATCAAATTATCAAATTATTTATTATCATATTTGTACTTTAATGTACAATTATATTTCTTTTATTATTAAGATAGCGTGAAGAATAACACAAGTTGTATAAGTCTAAAGTTTTAAAGATGAAGAATACAATAATTATTTAAAGATTTTAAAAATATTTAATTTTATTTATCCAAGTTTCATTAATGAAAAAAAATATATTAGAAGCCTTTATACAGAAAAACATAAAGATAAAGAATAAAAAAATAAAATAAAATAAAATTCCTAAAATAAAAAGGAAGAAATACAAATAATAATGGGAAATATGCATTATCCTAAAAAGCTTTTACATCTGTATTCTTGGGTTGTAAAGAACTTGTACTTAAATTTAAATTGTTTGTGGGAGGCTAAACCTCTTTAGATAGAAATCGATATTCACCATGAAAATATTCAATATAATATTATTTAAGTAGAATCTTCTTAGACAAAAAAAAAAATAAATGATTTTTTTATATGTGACCTACTCTATCAACTATCAATTACACTTGTGCCCATGATATTATTTTATTGTGGAATTTATTATAAAGATTTTTAATAACAGTACTAACTCACCACTAATAATTATTAGGCTTTGATGCATGTTCTCCATAAACAAACATGGTAGTTTGATTTCGTACAACAAAAAATAATGAAGAATCATTGGATTCTAATACTATATGACACAATTATGAGTGAAGCGAAATATGATTTATTATAAGTCAAAATTTTAAAAATCATTGACATTATAAATATAGAAAGATTTTTCAAATATTTAATTTTATTTATTCATATCTTACATATCAAAAAATTATCACAATCCTTGTTTATATATAAAAAAAACTAGAAAACCCAATTACTATCAAATAGGAAAATAAAACTAAAAATACTCAATAATACTGAATAGGAAAATGTAAATAAAAAAAATTCCTAAATTGAAAAGGAATATATAAGAAAACTTATTTATTTTTTTGAAAATTTTAATGCATCAAACGTTTGGTTTTTAAATATACCTATAAAACAATTGTTCAAAATTTTATTTTAGTGTAGTAAACTAGGTTTATTTTATATGTTTTAAAAAATAAACATACTAATTTTGTTTATAAAATTATTCACATTTTAATAATAAAATGTTTTTTATTTGATATATTCAAATTTATTTATAAATAAATTAAAATATAAAATATTTGAACAATAGAAAAATAGTAATAATGAAGATATGATTAGGAATGCCAATTAACCCGAACTCGATGAATATCAACTGATTAGTACTTAAAAGTGCATTTTTGTCAAGGTTTTATATCATCTTTTTGCACTTGAAATATCAATAACTCTTTAACTAAAACATGTTTTATAATAACATATCTAATAATATAAGATATCTTTAATTTATGGTAAATGTTCATTTTAAATGCAGATCTATCACATAAATGAAAGGATTGATTGATTAATTTAAGAACTAAAATTGAAAGGACAAAAAGATGACCAAACTTAGAAAAGAGGTGTCGGTGAAGTTCAAACCGAAACACCATTCGGTAATTTGATCATATCTAGAGATGTAGATCTCAGATTTAGGTCTACTTTATATGGATGGAAAAGTAAGACATAGGCCTACAACTTTTATATGGAGCCTAAGATTTAAAAAGGCCATTTTCAAGTCCAAATTGAAACAACAACAAAAAAGTCTGAATATGTTTTTCAGCCCGAGCACTGTTTAGTGTTTGACTTATATCTGGAGTTCTAGAAATCCAAATGACCTAAAGTTTTGACAAAAGAAAGCTGAGATAATTTCCTACAACTTTCATGTTTTCAAGTGGCTCTAATTTTGACGTTGTCAATGATATTTTGGGCAGACAAGAAAAGATAAGGATTGTCACCAAGTCAAGAGTTGATTACCCATTCATCAATTAGTAATGAAATCAATAGTTCCTAATTTTGGTCTATAAAAGAGGCATTTTCCATGCATTTAGACATCTTGGTTTCCAGATCAAGATCATGCTCTAACTTTCTCTCTTTGTATTTTTTGTAATGTTTATGTTTTGCTTTTATTAATATCAAGTTTATGTCTTTCATTTACTTAGTTAACTTTTATCTTATTTATGTTCTTATTTTGTTTATTTATTTTTATTTCTTTCATTATGTCTAGTTAAGTTTATTATGTCAAGGTGAAAAGGTTACACTAATGGTGTAAAAATAAGTATAATGTAAACTTAATATGGACTTTACTGTTTGATGCTAATATATTTTGTATTTGTTATCTTGTTTACTCTTTAATACTTTACTTGTTAAATGATTAATCTTGATTTATGTTGTATAACACTTGGTACAACAAATGCTTGCCACTTTCATACCTCATACTGTATGGTATAACCGACACCTAAGCTATGAAAGGAACTTGATTTGTTGTTAACATAAGTTATAATCATAAATATTTGACAAGATTTACAAGTATTAGCATTAATCGAATAAGATGACTAATGTAATGATGTTAACAATCTATAATCTAATTGAAACCTCCTTTGTGTGTGGTTTCCAATTGAATAATAAGAGTTTATACTATACTTGTTTGACATATCATTAGTGGATCCTCTAACCTTGACATTTATTATTGTCATTGTTTAATCCTTATGTTAATATTCCATCTCAAAGTTCTCATCATCATCATCTTTTTTTTTTCTTTATTATTATTATTATTATTATTATTATTGATATTACTACTATTACTACTACTGTTATTATTAGTATTATTATTATTGTTGTTATTATTGTTACTATTATTATTGGTGTTGTATTATTGTCATCTATAATTTATACAAGTAACCTCCTTGTGGTTCGACCCTAGTTTTGTCGGGTTATTTATTACTTCAACACTCCTCCACTTAGGAGAAGACATTAATCTTTTAGTCGTGTCACCAACCTAAATGAGTGGGTATTTTTTTTATAATTATCTTACTTTATGAATAATAGATATGATATAAATATTGTTAAACTTGATCAAAAACTTGAGTTAAACTTATCTCAAGATATATATTTGTAATATATAGATATTGACACGATCAAAGAGTTGATGTCTTATCTCAAGTGTAGGAGTGTCAAAGTAAAATAACCCGGCAAGACCGGGGTCGAACCACAGGGAGGTGAATTATATAAATTACAAATAAAGAAAAAGATTTAAAGAGAATAATAACAAAAAAAAAAGTTAAAGAAAGTTTTGAGATGTGATATTGATGTAGGGATTAAACAATAATATTGATGTAAGGATTAAATAATATAAAACATATGTCAAGGTTATAGGATTTACTAATGGTATTTCAAATAAATATAATATAAACTCTTTTTATTACTCAACTGGAAACCACACATAAAAGAGGTTCCAATAAGATGATTTCTGGTTATTAGCTCATTATAAATTACTAACATGATCATATTAACCATCTAATCTAAGTAACACCATACTTATAAATATCATCAAGCATTCATGTTGCTAGTTTATATTAACAATAAATCAAGTTCCTATCATAATAATGATGTCGGCCGAAAACTATGAAGGATCAAGCATTTGATGTACCAAGAGTTATACAACAAAAATCTAGATTAACCATTTAATAAGCAAGGTTTTAAGAATTAGTAAGATAAAAAGATAAAACATGTTAATAACAATCTTTCTTAGATATAAACATTTAAAGCCCATGTTGAGTTTATATTACACTTATTTTAACACCATTAGAGAAACCTTTTCACCTTGACATAATTAA